ACGCCGCAATCTCTTCTCCTCCATTCTCCTCTCGGGATCTTCGGCATGCATGCACACGCGCCCGGTGTGAGTTTTAAGCCACCACGTTTGGGACACAAACCGCTGTTGACTACATGGGAGTCCAGCGACATAGCAATTACACTAACTGTTGGTCCCAAGTCTTTGATTCATTTTGAGTTAATTTTTGTATTGGTTTTATATAAGGGTTCAGAGCCAGCAGGTAGGTGGCTTACTGGGTAAGGTGTTGGACTCCCACATGGCTGACCATGGTTTGAGTCCCAGACCTGGTGATGTTCTCATTCTGTCTGTCTCTTTGTCTGTCTCTCTTTGGTGATCACATGTCTCCTGTAGCAAGTTTAAAATATTAATTAATTAGTTAATTAAATAAATATTACAGTTTTATCAACAGTATTTATTGAATAGATTATCCTTTTTCTGTTGGTATTCTTGGTGTCTTTGAAATGTAGTGCTTTTATTGTTCATGAGTTTAGAAGAGGACCCTACTTTTCAAATTTCCGATGATAGTTTTGTAGACAATCGATGTAAGTACTTTAAATGCTTTGTGGAATTCAACTGTGAAGCCATCAAAACCTGGAATTTCTTTTGATGGAAAACATTTTATCACTGCTTTAATCTCATTACTCATTTGATCTGTTTAGATTTTCTACTTTCTGATTCAGTCTTTGTAGGTTGTGTGTGGAGCCGAATATATCCATTTCTCTACATTTTCCAATTCATTGGCATATAATTGTTCATAGTAGTTTCTGGTGATCTTTTGTATTTCTGTGATACTAGTTTTAATGTCTCCTTTTTCATCTATGACTTTATTTATTGAGTCTTTTTTATTTTAACCTGGTGATAATAAGAATGTGTGTTCTGCAGCTCATAGGTGAATTGTTCTCTTGATGTCTATTAGATTCATTTGGTTTATAATGTAGTCTAACTCTGATGTCTGTTGGTTTTCTGTCTGAATGATCTATTGTTGAAAATGTGGGATTAAAGTTCTCAACTATGATTGTATTGGAGTCTCTCTCTCCTAGTAGCTCTAATAATAGTGGCTTTATATATTTGGGATGTAACTGTATTGGTGCATATATATTTACAATTGCTATATCCTATTGCTGAATTGGTCCCTTTATCATTGTATAATGATATAATTTGCCTCTTTTTACAATGTTTTACTTAAAATTGATTTTATTTGATATAAATAGTGCTATTCTTGCTGACTTTGTTCTTCTCTTCCTTTCTTGTTGTTTAGTGCTTGGGTAGTTTTTGTGATAAGATTTGATTTCTTTGTCTTTTTTATTTGTGTATCTACTCTACCTGTGAGTTTTATAAATGTTATTATTTACTTATTTTGCTTCCAGATGTAGGACTCCCTTAAGTGTTTCTTGTAAAGTCAGTTGAGTGGTGATAACTTCTGTCAATTTTTGCTTATCTTGAAAAGAACTCTGTGTTCTTCAATTCTGAAGAATAGTTTTGCTGGATATAGTATTCACAGCTTGCTGGTTTTTGTTTCTGCACATTGAATATATCATCACATTCTCTCATGGCCTGTAGTTTCTGCTAAGTAATCAACAGTAAGTCAAATGATAATCCTTTTTATATTACTCAATTCTTTCCTCTTGATGTTTTTCTAATTCTTTGGCTTTTAACATGTAATTATGGTGTACCTCAGTGAAGACCTACTGGGTTGAATCTGTTTGTGAACTTTGAACATCGTGTTTCCAGAAGTCTATATTTTTCCACAACCTGAGAAGTTTTCAGCAACTATTAACTAAGCATTCTGGCTTTTTATTTCTTTTCCTTTTAGAGCTTTCATAATGTAAATGTTTCACTTAATGATGTCCCATAAGTCCTTCATGCTTTTTCATTCATCTTTTTCCCTTTGGGTGACCTATATTCAGGTTAGAGAGTCTTTATTCTGCTTGATTTAGTCTGCTGTTGAAGCTCTCTATTTGTTCATTCATTGAATTCTTCAGTTCCATGATTTCTGTTAGGCATTTTTTAAAAAAATAATAACATCCTTCTTTATTACGTTTTTCATTAAATATTGTTCCTGATTTCATTGTATTATTTTTTACCTTACTGAGTTTTCTTAATATACTTATTTTGAATTATTTTTCATGCAATTCATAAATTTCTATTTCTTTTGGGTTAGTTACTAAAGAGTTACTGTGCTTTTTGGTGGTGTCATGTTTCTTTGCTTTTTCATGTTTCTTATGTCCCCCACTGACTTCTGTACTTCTGGTGGAACAATCACCTCTTCCAAACTTTACAGAGTGACTTTCAGATAAAAAGATTTTCACTACAGATGGGTCCTAATGTGCTAGTTAGGAGAGGGTTTGGTAGCTTTGGTCCTTAGGAGATGTAGTGATTCAGCCTCTGTGAGGCTCTTATTTAGGCACTGTGTAGTGTTGACTCTGGAACCTGGGTTAGTCAGAAACAGCAGTAACACCTAGACTGTATGAAGCCAACTACAGTGGCAGCAGGGACTCGAGAATGGCAGTGCTTCTGTTGCTTGGGTCCTGGGGTGAGGGTGGAGGGCCCAGGGAACAGCATTACAATATTCTTCACTCCCTGGGGAGTGTAAATGTCCTTGCAGCTCAGTCTTTTATTTTTCTTTTAAGAGAGGTTTTTGCTATAGGGCGCGTGTGCTGGCCAGATAGGCAGAGAGAGACAGAAAACAAGAAATCACTCCCCGGGGAGATGGCTACAATGCAATCCCTTCTCCTCCATTCTCCTCTCTGGATCTTGGGCATGCATACACATGTGCCTGGTATGAGTTTAAGCTGCCCAGTCCAAGACTCTAACTGGTGTCAACTATGTGGGAGTCCAGCGATGTACCTATTATGCCATCTGTTGGTCCCTGCTTCCTTAGAATATACAGTTACTCAATTTGGTGAAGGGAGCTCAGCTGTGTGGACTTCAGAAAGCTCTCTTCACTAAGTTGGGTGTCTGTGTGGACCACAGGGGTTCCCAGTGATAAGAATTTCAAGTGTCCAAGGTGGTGGGAAGGGCTCCTGGGGTCTTCTTACATACCCTTTCTCTGCAGGGAGGATTCCCTTCTGCTTCTGGGCTGATCTTTGCAGGGGAATGAGGAGATAGAAGTGAGGCATTTTCTTCCATTCTCCGTGTGCATCCTAAATTTCTGTGCTCTATGAAGTTTCTGTTAGTTCTCTGATATATTTTACACTCTTTAAGTTGTTTACATCAAAATATGGTTGTTTACTCTCTGTTTTGGCTATCTTGGTGGAGGGTATGAGCACTAATGACTTGCAGTTGTTCATCTTGCTACAATTTTTCAAGGCCATTATTCTATAACTTTTAATTGTTTTATTCAAGAGTTAACAGGTGTTTGGCAATTTCAGTTTTTGTATGTCTGATTGGATCTTTATTTTGGTATTTCTAAATGATAGCAGCTGATTAAAAATTTAGTAGTCTAAGTAGTCTAAAGATTTTACTACATTATCTACATTTGTTGTTGCTAATGAACATTTCTCTGTTCATCTACAGAAAGTATCATTCCTTTGTAGCTAATATGTCTTTTCTCTATGATAGCTTTAGAGCTTTTCTTCTTGACATTCTGTAATTTCACAACAAAGCACTTAAGTGTGTTTAATCTGAGGATTACTGTTAACTCTGGCAAATTCTCTGTATGATTTCTTCAAGTGTGATGTCTCTGACATTTTCATCACAAACCTTTAGGTTTACAGGAAGAATAAACATAGAGCTTGAGGTATTTGTGCATGTAAATCAAGGTAACTTATTTATTTTTAAAAGGTAGAGGAATGGAGTTGAATCATTGACTTTAATGATGAATGAACATGAAATGCTCTAGGATTAAAAGTTAATTTTCAGGGATCAGCAGTTGTTGTAATGGCTATGTCACTCCCATGTAGCCGACTACAGTTCAAGTCCTGGACCCGGTGGCTTAAACTCACGCCTGGCAGGTGTTCGTGCGTGCCCAAGATCTCAAGAGGAAAATGGAGGAGAAGGGATTGCGGCATGACCATCCCCCCTGGGGGGTGATTTCTCTCTTTTTGTCTCTCTGTCTGTCTCTGTCTTTCTGGCGAGTGCATATGCCCTATAGCAAAAAACTCTCAAAAAAAAAGTTAATTTTCATAGGAAAAAATAAAATAAATTTTTGTCATCCAGCTGTCTTAAACACAACATTTTATAAATAACTTCAAAAGGATGCTTTAAGAATTTCATCAAACTAGTAGGATTGTATTTTGGGTATAATGTTTTTAGCTTTCCTCTTCATTTAGCAAGGCTCTTCTAAATACATTCATACTTGATATTTTTTCTCTTTTAGGCAGATGCTTCATTGGTCTCTATATGTACAAAATTATTTTAATCAATAATGTCTAATTGTGAAGGCTTACTGTTTCAAAGTATTAGGATAGATTCCATTCGTTAGAAGTATTTCAAACAGCACAAATAATAAAAACATCTAATCCTGGGGCCAGCAGGTGGCATGGTGGTTAAGTTGCTGACTCACCATGGTTCAAGTTCTGGACCTGGCGACTTAGTTTCTCTTTTTCTCTCTCTTTCTCTGTACTATACCAAGTTAATAAAAATAATAAATTAAATAAATAATTATTTAAAAAATTGAATCTATAAAATAATTTAGAAATTAAAAAGCAAAATATAAATTTACAAAGTTTTGCTTCTGCAGAAGCTCCTGCAACATGGTGATATGAATAATACAAATCCAGCTACACTACCGATGGGCTCAGGCTGGCTGAGCACATAGTTTCAGGACTTTATCTTTGTCCTTCTGCCCTGCTAGCATTATACCTTCTTGTAACACATAGAAACAAAAATCTAATTTTCTTCAACTCCTTTCATTGGAATGAGGATGTTGGGTGAAGTTATTAACACACTTTTACCTTTACTCTTCATATTTTAAAAGACAGACCTAGTCAATATATACCCAATCATAGTTTTAATTTCATTCTAAAATGAACATATTTATAACTTCCCCCATAACTTACTTATTCGTAAACTGTTTTCAAATAATTCATGAACAAGTTTGTCAAAATCATAGGTTACTCTTGCTAGAGAATCAGGCTCAAAATTTGAACAAAATAACAGATCATTTTCATGCTCATCTTCACGTTTTAAAGTTCCTCCAAATGCCCAAGTAAATGCAAACACAAAAAGCTTTTGAAGCATTATTGTTAATTTATCAGGATTTTTCTCCAAAAACCATGTATTTCCATCCCTGGAGCAGATAGATAAGAAAAGAGAAAGGTAAAAATTCTTAGAAAGCAGTTCATAAATTTATTTCAATAACATATCAAAGTTTATTATTAAAAGTTATAAAAAAATTTACATAAAATTTTTACTTATTTTTTCATTTGATAACTCATACATTATTACTTTTATTTTAAAATTAAAATTGTTATTAACATAATTATACATATTTGTGGAGCTACAGAGTGATTTTTCAGTGTAAGAATACAATGTGTAATAATTAAATCAGTGATTAGCATACTCATCATGTCAATCATTTGTTTTTACTTTGAGTTGGGAACATTCATAATCATTTTTTAGTTGCTCTGAGACAGTGAGTTGTTGTTTACTATATTTTCCCTACTGTATTTTATAACACTAGAAATTTTCCTATTATTTCTCTTTTTTTTTTTTGGAGAGATTTTCGCTATAGGGCACGTGAGCTCGCCAGACAGACAGAGACATAGAGATAGAAAGCGAGAAATCACCCCCCGGGGGGATGGTCACGCTGCAATCCCTTCTCCTCCATTCTCCTCTCGGGATCTTGGGCACGCATGCACATGCGCCCTGTGTGAGTTTTAAGCCACCAGGTCCGGGACGTGAACCGCGGTCGACTACGTGGGAGTCCAGTGACATAGCCATTACGCTAATGACTGGTTCCCTATTTCTCTGTAATTTTATTTCTGTTAATCAATAGCCCCTTATTCCTGATACCACCATCCTTCCCAGCTTCTAAAAGACATTCTTCATCTCTCTCTGCTTCTATGAAGTCATTTTCCCCCAATATTTATATGTGAAATAAATCATGAGGTATTTCCCTATCTGTTCCTGGATTATTATACTTAACATAATGTCTTCTAGGCTCACCTGTTTAACTTTAAATGATGGGATCGCACCCTTTAAAGTGACTGAATGGTATTCGTGTGTATGCGTGTGTGTGTTTGTGTGTGACATTTTCTTTATCCATTCATCTGTTTAACATATCTTGGCTATTGTGAACAGTGCTACAATAAAGATTGGGGTGTGGGCCAGCAGGTGGCATAGTGGTTAAGGCACTGGACTCCCATGTGGTTGACCATGGTTTGAGTTCTGAACCTGATGACTTGCCCAGTGTGTATGCGTGCCCAAAATCCCAAGAGGAGAATGGAGAAGGGATTGCAGCATGGCCATCCTCTCGGGAATGGGGAGGATTTTTTGCTCTGTTTCTCTGTCACTCTTTGTCTCTCTGGTGAGCACACATGCCTTATAGCAAAAATTTCTCTAAAAATAAAAAAGATGGGGTGCATATATTCCTTAAAACATACTTATTTTCTTTCTTTTTTATATATACCTTGTAGTAGGATTGCTGGGTCATATGGGAGTTCAATTTTTAGCTTTCTGAGGCACTCCCATACTGTTTTCCATAATGGCTATATTAATTTACATGCCCACCAGCAGTATAAAAGAGTGCCCCTGTCTCTGTATCCTCATCAGCACTTGTTATTTTTGATAGCCATTCTAACTTGAGTGAGATCATTTCAATATACTTTTGATTTATGTTTTCCTAATGATTAGTGATGTTGATTATTTTTCCATGTTTGTTGGCTATTTGAATGTCTAAGAATTATTTAAAATTTTTTTATTATTATTTTTAATTTGCTATTGACATGTGCACTTGCCAGAGACAGAAAGTGAGTGAGAGAGAGAGTGAGTGAGAAAGCAAGTGCAGTCTGGGAGGTCTGGGACTTGAACTGTGGTCAGCCATGTGGGAGTCCAATGCATTAACCACCACACCACCTGCTGGCCCCTATTTTCATCTTTCAAGAACTATTTTTTCAGGTCATTTGCCCATTAATTTTCCTGCTGAGTTGAGTTCTTTGGATATTCTGGTTATTAATCCCTTGTCAGATGTATACCATTCAAGTATTTTCTTCCATTCTATGGGTTGTCTCTTCACTCTGTTGATTGTTTCCTTTGTTGTGCAGAAGCATTTTAGTTTGATATAATCCCGTATGTCTATTTTTGCTTTTGTTGCCTGTACTTTTGAGGTTTTTATTCCTGAACTCTTTGCCCTTATTGATGTCTCTGGAATGTTTTACCTAAGTTTTCTTCTAGTATCTTCATAGTTTCAGGTTTTATGTTTAAGTCTTTGATCCATTTGGAGTTGATTTTTGTATATCATGAGAGATATGCTCTAGTTTCATTCTTCTTCTGTGGCTATACAGTTTTCCCAATATCATTTACTAGAGAAACTGTCTTTTCTCCAATGAATTTTTAAATTGCTATGTTGTATTAACATAATTGTTATGTTATTTTTCAGTACAGGAATATAATGTGTAATGACTAAATCAGGGTAATTAGCATGACTGTCATCTCAGTCATTTGTAACATTATATGCACTAAGTTGTCATTTATCACATTCTTACCACTATATTTTATAAAACTAAGCATTATTCCTTTAATCTATGAGTTTGGGGCACCTTTGTTGAAAGTCAGTGGCTGTTTGAGTGGATTTATTTCTGTATATATACGTGGAACTCAGAGGATTCTAATACAGGTTGTTCTTTCACCAGCCTTTGATAAATGTTGATATATACACATAGTTAACTCTTAATTATCTGGTGAAGTTTAGGATTAATTATTCCTCTGCATAACAGAACTGAGTAGTGTCTCATCAGCTGTCTGGCACTAGTTTCTTTAACTATCAAGAGTAGCAGGGAAAACCAAACACTAGAGTTGTGCTGGGAGACACAGTGTGTGCTCTGAGAGAAAAACCAAGCAAGGGTACTCAGACTTCAAGAGGATCTAGCAATACATCAAACAGAAATCAGTTGCAGCTAATTTCTAAACCTCATCAGCAAGGTAAGCAAGTCCCAGGCTGTTTGCAATTTTTATTTCTATGACGAAAGTCTGCAATCATCATCCTTGGATATAAATCATCATGCTCTAGCACATGTTTTTCTCTAGATAGCATTAAAAAAAATTATTTATTTAGTATTATTTATTCATTCATTTATTTTAATTTGACCAGAGAGGGACAGAGAGAGAGAGCAAGAGCGAGAGCGAGAGCAAGAGCGAGAGCGAGAGCAAGAGCGAGAGCGAGAGCAAGAGCGAGAGCGAGAGCAAGAGCGAGAGAGAGAGAAGGAAAGGGAGAAAGGAAGCTGCCAGGTCCAGGACTTGGATCATGGTCGGCCATGTGGGAGTGTACAACACCTTAACCACAACGCCACCTGCTGGTCCCTCTAGATAGCATTTTTTAAAATGTGGAATTGTGGGTCAAGTATGATATGTATTTTATTTATTAAAGTCTATTAGATTTGTTTCCAAAAGTTTGTGGCAATAAAACTTCCCCCACCAAGGTGCAAGGATGCATATTAAGAATGCTATCTACAATGAGTCTTCATTTCCAAAAATATAGTCATGTACCACATAACAACACTTCAGCCAGTGATAGACCACATATATGACAGTTGTTCCATAGGCTTGTAATAGGCTGTACCATATAGCCTAGTGTGTAGTAGTCTATGGCTTCTAGGTTGTGTAAGGACAGCCTGTAATATTTACTCAACAACAAAATCGCTAACAACACATTTCTCAGAACGAACCCTGTTGTGACACATAACTATCTATCATTTAGGAATATATTAATAAATACAAAATCCAGGATAGCAGTAATTTCAGATGGTGGAATAGCATAATAGGTAGGAGAGTACACAGGATATAATAATAATATATAATATATAATAATAAATAATGGGTTGGCCTCATGGCCTAGTGATTAAGGGAGCCAGATATCATGGTCAACCATGTGGTTTGAATCCCAGCCCCTATGGCTTGAAAAACATACTGTGTATGTATGCCCCAACTCCCAACAGGATTGAGAAATGAAGAATGGAGTGTGGGGTGATTGCACCCTATTGGGGGTGCTTTCTTCTTATCCCTCTCTTTGTCTCTGTCTGGTGAGTACATACTCCCCTGGCAACTGAAAAATAATAATAGGCTTTTTTTTAGAACTGAGTAGTATGCATATGTATATTTGGGATATTGTTATTTTATATCTTATGCGTATTTTATAAATATTTCTGTGGCTATTAACAATTTAATAAAAATTAAACATAATTTATGGTATGTTGAAAATGGATCAGAAGAATTGGGGAGAATTAAGAAGATCAGAAATTTATTGTAACAGAATAGGCAAAAAGTTATGGAGGTTTGGGTTAGGATGCCATAAATAAGATAGAAAGGAGTGAATGGATTTGAAGACATAGCTGACAAGTAGTGGAAACCATATTTAGAATATTTTATTCAAAAGCAGATGTGACATGAATGTCTCATGAAAGCCTCAAAAGTGAATCTCCTGGGGCAAGCAGGTGGTGTAGGGATTAAGGTGCTGGACTCCCACATGACAAACCACAGTTTGACTCCCGGACCCTGTAGCTTGAAAATCATCCTGGCACATGTGCCCACAATCTCAGGAAGAGAAGGGATTGCACAGTGGCCAGGCACCCCACCCCCCACCCCAGGGGTGATTTCTCACTCTCACTCTATGATGAGCACATATGCCCTATGGCAAAAAACCTTACCCAAAAACACAACTCTCCTATCCTAACCAGGAGAAATGTGGATCTAACAACTTCCATATAATTAATAATTTCTTTACTTACCAGGTTTACTTACTTGGAATTATCACATTATTTCAATTTTATGAATGAGAAAAACCAAAGTTTAAAAATATTTAATAACTGGTTCAACATCTCACAGCTCATAGATAAATGACAGATTCATGAAATAAATTCATTCCTTTTACAAATTTGAATTTATTCTGTTTTTGAATAGGTACAGAGGCTGAACAAATATACCATATTATGCCTATTGTTTCAAAATTTAGCATAAAAATTTGGTGATGTGTATTAGCTATATAAAGGACTAAGATAGAAATAAATAAATTTAAGTGGATTTTGGTATTACAAAAATCACAGAAGTATTGGCTTATGGACAAGTAATCCTTTGTGTATTTGAGTGTTTGGCACCTAGTAGTACTTAAACATGTTTATTGAATAAATGTAACTGACCTCTTTTCTGTATTCTGGAATTTGACAGAAACTTCTGAAGATTTTGTTTCCTTAGTTGAAGTGTCACTCAAAACATGACCTTAGAAAGAAGAGAGTGTTTTCCCACAATTAGCAATAGACCTAAAATTTAGCAGGTTAACAAAGTTAATCTTTAACATTAGTTAGTTAGTAAGCTGTCACTAGAAAACATCTCTGTTACAGATACAGCATCTTAATAGTTATTGTATCAGACCAAAATAGGAGTTATTTTTTTTTTAAGGAAAAGAGGGACAGAGAATGTTCTTATAGCAATCTGAATTGATTCTTATTTATTTGAAGTGTAAAGCTGTATATTTCTGTTCTTCATCCTATTTTTTGGTAGGTTTGTTTTAAAATGTAAACCTTAAACTATGCAAGGGGCCAGCAGGCAGCATGGTGGTTAAGGGCATTGGATTCCCATATGGCTGACTGCAGTTTGAATCTCAGACCTGGTGGCTTGGTTTCTCACTTTCTCTCTCTCTCTCTCTCATTCCTCTCTGGTCAAATTATAAATAAATAAATAAATAAAGTTAAATATATAAACAAAAAAAAACTTCAAGGGACTACCTCCAAATAAAGTACACACTACAAATAACTTTAAGTAAATCATAATAAAATGAAGTATAAAAAAGTGGCAGGCCAACCATAGTGTGGTAGTTAAAGTGGCTGAATCCCACATGGCCAACTATGCAGCGTGGGTCTCAGAACCAGACACTTAAAAACACAGCAGGTGCAGAGGGTGAGAGATAGGGAGTCAAGAATGGGGTAAAAAGGAAAATACACAGGAAACAAGAAATGGAAAATTATTTGTTGACGATAACACATATGAGACTGAATTAGTAATAAATAGTCTTCCCCCCAGAAAAAGCCCAGGTCATGATGGATTTACTTCTGAATTCTTTAAAACCTTTAAAGAACAAACATCTATTCTATTCAAACTATTTCTAAAGCTCCAAAAGGAAGAAACCCTCCCAAATTCATTCTATGAAGCCTTCATTACCCACATTAAAAAAAGAAAGAAAGAAAGAAAGAAAGAAAGAAAACTACAGATCAATATCCCTGATAAATACAGATGCAAAAATTCTCAGCAAGATACTAGGAAATTGTATCCAATAACACATTAAGAAGATACACCACAACCAGGTTGGTTTTATTCTAGTGATGCAAGGGTGATTCAACATATACAGAACCATAAATGTAATATATCAAGTTAATAGAAAGAAAGATAAAAACCCCATGATCATATCAACTGATGCAGAAAAAGCATTTGATGAAAATACTTGTAGAAAACAGAGGAGAAACTCTTGAAGACCTAGGAGTAGGCAAAGATTTCTTAGACACCCAAAACAGAGGCAATAGTCCTGAAAATAGACAAATGTGATTACATCAGGTTAAAAAGCTTCTACATAGCAAAAGAAACAATTAAAGAGAAGAAACGACTCTCAATATGTGAAAATATATTTACAAACTACACCTTAGGTAAGGTACTGATAATCTGCTTGAGTTCCCTGTATATACTGGTTACCTGGGAAAACAAAAAATCCAATGAAAAGATGGGCCAATGAGTTGAACAGAAAACTCTCAAAGGAAGTCATGTGAACAGCCAAAAAGCATATGAAAAATACTCAGTATCCCTTATAATAAGGGATATGCAAATCAAAACCATAATGAGATATCACTTAATCTCAGACAGAATGGCTAAGATGAAAAAAAATAGAGAATGATAAGTGCTGACAGGGCTGTGGAGAAAAAGGAACTCTCCTTCACTGTTAGTGGGAATGTAATTAGTATAGCCAGTGTGGAGCACAATATGGAGATTCCTCAATAACCTACAACTGGAACTACCATACAATCCAGTAATTCCATTTCTGGGTATCTACCCAAGGGATAGAAATACACTTTGTCAGAAAAATGCTTGCACATCCATGTTTATTGCAGCATTATTCACAAATGCTAAAACACTACCCAAAAGTCTCAGAACAAACAAATGTGAAAAAAGTGTGGCACATATACACTACAGAATACTACTTAGTCATAAAAATCAGTAAGAACCTGACATTTGATCTAAACTGGATGAATATGGAAGATTTAATGCTGAATAAAGCAAGCCAGACTATGAAAGAGAAGCATTGTATGTCCCCACTTAATATATACCAAATGTCTACAATCTATGACAGAAACTTATAAGATTGGAGCATATAAAAACATGGAAATAAATAAATAAATAAATAAAGTTAAATAAAATAATTCTTTAAAAAAATTTAAAAATATAAAAACATGGAAAGCAACTGTAGATACTAGAGACAATGTGGGAGAATGGTGGACAACAGAGGGTGGGGTGGGAGAGAGGAAATCAAAGGGGAAAAAAAGACAAAACATTTAATGAACACAAAAATGGAAATTATCTGTTGATAATGTATATGATAATAACTTTGGCTGGAAAATATGTTCATGCTGGGGAAACTCATTTTGTATGCCATAAATATATGCAATGAATAAGAAAATTAAAATGTTAAACTAAAAATAGAAAGCTGATGCAGGCACCAGTAGGTGGCATGGTGGTTAAGACACCTGGATACCCACAGTACTGACCAGGGTTTGAGTCCCAGACTTGGTGGTTTGAAAATCATTCTGGGCGCCTGTATGCCTAGCCAAACCCCAGGAGGAGAATGGAGGAGAAGGGAGTGCAGCATGATTTCTCATTTTCTCTGTCTCCTCTCCAGCAAGTGCACATGTCTTATGGCAAAAAACTTAAAAAAAAAAAAAATTCTAATCTCATTCTTCCCTTCTTCTGGTCTTTGGAGCTCCCCACTGGCTAAACCCCACCAGCAGCTAGGGGCCCTAGAAACCTAGAGATCCTGTAATTTGTCCTTTAGCTGAGTCTGGAGAAGAAAATTCAGTCCCATACAAGTTTACAAGCCCTTTTCTCTTACTGAGCTTAAACATATTAAAGCTGACTTGCAGGGACCAGCAGTTAGCGTAATGGCTATGTCGCTGAACTCCCATGTAGTCAACTGCGGTTCGAGTCCCGGACCTGGTGGCTTAAACTGACGCCGGGCGCATGTGCATGCGTGCCCAAGATCCCGAGAGGAGAATGGAGGAGAAGGGATTGATAGCAAACATCTTTAAAAAAAAAAAAAAAGAAAGAAAGAAAAACTGACTCGCATAGTTGTTTTTCTAACAATCCTGATAAACATAGCTAGGTTTCAATGTGTTTCTCTGGCTTTTGAGTAGATGCTAAACAGGGACAATTCACAACCTGCAATTATAGGGTTAAAATGCGAAGCATTCTCAGCAGCACCACAGGATCCTGCTACTTGCTGAGGGCATTCAAGTTTGCTTAGGATTTTACTTACCCTCTAACAGTGCCTGAAAAAAATAGATAAAATGTAAAACGTTGTAAGGAAAACAAAAAACCTTTTTTTTTTTTTTAAGAGGTTTGTCATAGGGTGTGTGAGCTTGTAGGAGAGAGACAGAGACAGAGGGAAAGTGAGAAATCACCCTCCAGGGGGGATGTCTATGCCATAAACCCTTCCACTCTCCTGGAATCTT